TCCAGTTATATAGGGTCCACGGCATACATTCTGGTGTTCTTTTTTCAGAAGTACGACTGGTTTTTTCGCATTTTCAATGCTTGAAAGAAAAAAATTGAAATGCTTGTCTGTGTGAATTCATTCTGCAAATGCGCAATTAATGCTTAAAGATCCCGAAATTTGAGGATGAGTCAAGGTTGTTCGAAATTTATTCAGCCCCAACACTCATTTTCGTGGTAGAAAAGAAGGAGAGACTATAGAACTATAAAAAATTTAAAACGTTTGACCTAAAATGAGGCAAAAATTCGAAAATATTTTCAAGTAGCAGGTTCAAATCCAAAAAAAAATTATCTGATATCAAAATCGAATAATTAAATTGGAATTTTTTGAAAAGAAGCACATTTTTCTCTTGAATGAACAAAATTAATGATATACTGTACTATATTTGCCTTTTGAACATCGCCAAATCTTACTTTTTTAATCTTTACGTGCATATAATTGTGTTATACAGTATTCTAACTTGATATTTAAAACTCTCCAGAGACAATCCCAACTGCAGAATTTAGCATGCTCGAAATTTTCGTGAATTCACAGTAGCTGCCTCACTTTCATAATTGCATATTGGCCAGGTCCATATTACATACAATGATAATCGTGACATTTGTCAGCAATTAAATATAAAATCCAAGCAGCGCAGACGTTGCGGAAATTTTTTCAAGGTTCGACCTTGTCCGTCAGGGAATAAGGTCAAGTTCAAGGCCAAATTTCATAGAACGTTTCTCGGGTTTGAAAATACATTTAGAATTCTAGATTTTCTCGTAAACCAGCTTGCGCTAAAGAATACCCTTCAACTCTGGGAAACTTGAAGAAAAAAAACAGTTGTCCTCATCATTGGTAAATAAGGTTCCATTGCTCTTCCAGACACCACTGTACTACGCTTCCTCCACAAGGTCATGAAGAGACCGAACCCAGATCAGTTTTCAGCACAAAGTTTTCTTTCGCGCACATACATACGTAAAACTGTATGAAATAAATGTTCAGCGCGTTGCATCATTACGCCGTGCGAGAAGTATCTCATCAGGAGTATATATAAATATATATGCGCGAAACTCTGAACGGAAAACACAACAACATTGCCATAGAGAACCCCACGGCGGGGTGGGTACGTCTAGCAGCAAGCAGCACACAATGATGAAAAATGTGCCCTTCGGCATTCTGTAAGCAGAAGCATTCTCCTGGACTCTTCCAGAATATAGATTCCCCCCTTCAATCATCCTCCACATGTAACGGCAGCTGCAGCTGCAGAAGCAGCACACGGCAACCTGTACAGCTTATCACACACCAGGCATTTTCGGCGACCCCCTTCTGAATCAAACCCATGGAGAAGGGCATGATTCAGAAAAGGAAACACTACTTCGATAAAACCCGCCGTACTCATTTCCGGGAATGAAAAATGTAACACACGGAGCAATGAACTTGTACTGTACTAACGTTTAGTGGTTTAGACTCGTTTCGAGTGTGGCAGCCCCTTTTTTCATTCTTTTGCTATACATATTTATTCCTTGTGATTTCCATCAAGTTTTACTCATTCCTGAGATTTTCATGGTGCATAAATGGCGATAAATGGGCTGACATTTCATTGCATTTTTGGGGGTTTGGGTGATACAAGGAGTCACCTTGTGGTAATTGAGTCATTGAGTAAGTTTAAATGTAACACGGAGCAGTGAACTTGTACTTAACATTTAGTGGTTTAGACTAGTGTAATTGAGGATTACAGAAGAAGGAAAGAAAAGGATTGATTCCAAAAATATAACACATCATTCAGCTGGGGATTTCCTAAGTAAATCCAAAAAAGATAAAAGGAAAAATTTGTTTCACCTTTTTCCCATGATTAATTCATAGAACACACACAGTAGAAATATCATAAACAATTCAAAATGATAACTGGCAACATGCAGACAGACTCAGGAAATAAATGAATATCAAAAATGTTGGAATAGAGTGGCCTTCTATTGTTTTTACCCTCTCCCTTCCAGGAATCTGCACTGTTGTATTGCAGGAAATTTTCAACACAAAATAAATTTCATACTTTTATCGCACAAGAAGTCGCTCCTTACAAATACATAATCCGTCCAATATACCAGTGCAACGTGTTGAAAAATAATGTTTTTCGTGCCAAAAATATAAGCATTCTACTTGTACCATGATCAAAAAAGATAGCAGACGTTGCATACACTCTGTGGGGCCTAAATGATTTTTGGTGAATTTCATCAAACTTCCCTAATATCGTTCATTCAGTTGCATAGCGTTTGATATGACGTATTGTCATTACGCTCCGCAGTTGAGAAGTAAAACAAAATCAATAATCGCAAATGGTTCGTGGAAAAAGGCTTTCAATTTGAAATATGCAGAAGGAATGGAAGGAAACTCAACTGTCTTTTGGTTAAACATGCAAAAAGAAAAAGAAAAAAACTCAAGAGAAAGGTGAAGACTCAAGGCATTGGAAAAATATTGTCCAGGACCAGGTCGGTGACGGACGTGGCCACGATAGAGATTAGGACCCACCAAGGTCCCGCATCCTGGGGGTCGCCGGGGATCGATACCCGCTTTTGTGCTGGCGAATGAAGTGGCAAGTCGGGATTGCGCCCTGGGGAAAAGAATGTAGCAGCAGAGGCAGCTGGGGAAATCAATGTCCGACCGGGTTTGCTCCCACCAGGAGTTTCGCCAATTTCTCTTCTACCTTTTTCGTTTTCTTGACCAGCTTTTTGCACACCTCATTCTCGTTCTCAAAGGCACGCACCGAGAGAGAAACTGACGATCGGAACGCCTGGAATCACCGTCCAGTACAGCGTCGAAATAGTGTTATTTGCGGGGCTGTAATAATGGGTGGCTTTTGCTCCAACAGGTTTTCAAAGGGCTTCCACAAAGTTGGAAACATTAAAATTTCGCCTCTCTTCGCAGTTCGCACTAATGTTTTTCTTTGCAAATAAAAACAGTGGGTCCCTGAATAACTAATTTACTACGCTCCTGTTCGAGTTTGGCCTTGTGTTCGGAAAATCGTAACAAAAGGATTGAAATTTTATAAAACGCAGCAGTCAGCTTGGGGCTGGCTTGTTCAATCAGAATTCGGAGATCCATTTTTTTTTTAGTTCCTAAAACGGCAGATCAAAAACTCGGAAAATATATTTCATAGTTCACATTTTTGTTATCTCGTTAGGACTTGCTTTCGCGTAATGATTTGGTTGGAATAAAGGATGGGTGACAATTTTTGTGTGAGAATTCAGAAAGTCCCTCACATCTCCCCTTGCTTCACAACTTAATTTGCTTAACATACTTTTCACACAACAGACTAGTCTGTTGCACAAATTAAGTCCATTGTGTGGGCATTCACTGTATGCAATCAAGTGCTGTCCTTCATCTTTGCCAGTTGATTTGTATCTAACAAGGGTAAATATATTTAGAAAATTCTGTAATCTTTTTCGTCATCTCTGGAATTCTGAATTTTTTGAATACTTCAAACACGTTTGTTCAGTTCACTGCATGATGAGAAGTGTGCTGAACTTGTTGTCATGAGAGTTTAAAAATGCAATTCGTATTACAGTACTTAGAATCTGATCTTTCTCGTGCCTTGAAAAAAATTTGAATGATTATTCAAACTGACCTCGCACACGCAAAGCTTATACTCGCCCCGGAATGGAAAACAAAACTTGTGGATTACTAAACAAGCATTGTCAAATGGTAATTCCGTCTGCCTCATCATGACTTTTGCCTGAAACTCCCTGCAAAGAGTGCCAGGATGACTGATGAATCCTTTTCTCGAGTACACCAGGAAACGTAGCCTCGAGCCAAGGTATCCTTCAGCAAACAAGCCACTCATATAGCGGAACATAAAAACCTGATACCTCGGTTATTGTTGGGCATCGAACGAAGCTTCAAGAGCTGCCACATGAAGAAGATGAAGCATATCAGAGCCCCGCGGGAATCAATCTCCTGAAAGCTTCGAGAACACAAGCTTATAACTACTGTATATATTCGGAGGGGAAAGAAAAATTCTGTGCGGAAAAGCTTCCCCGTCATTTCGTACATTCGGAGGAAGCGACTGACTGACGTGCAGAATAATAATAAACGCTTTCTGAAAATAGCAACCAATTCTTCTTTTATTTCGTTCGTTCTTATTTTCCTCTTGGATCAGCGCCGGATTCAATTCAAACATCTGGAATATTTCTCATTTCCTTTTTTTTTGTGTGTGTCCGATCTGCGAATTGAAAGCAGCAGCAGTGGCGGCGGAAACCACGATAAGGTGAACCGCGTTTTCGCAGCTGTTGTGTATGTGAGCCCGTCAACTTGTTTTCTTTTGCCCACGAGTTTTTGAAATTCTTTTTGAGAAAACAAGGTTTTTGTTGAATTTTACAGTCATCTCCGGAGATGCATCTTCTGAAGCGCTGTGAAAGATGACAGAATAACAGCGGAAGATCTGATACCCCTTTCCGAAGGAACTGCTGCTTCTCGAGAGCAGCACGTGGCACACAAAGCCGACATTCTTATTTCGTTCATACATTTTTTCCCTTTGTGCAGGTTTTGGTAAGTTCTTGAAAGCCCTGAGGAACCCCTGACTCGTGGAACAACAGGCTGCTATTTTCTTTTTTTTTTATGTTATTTTTGCGAACCGCACGTTTGAACGAAGACAGCTTGACATTTTTTTCCTTGCCTTTCCATTTGTGGTGTACTATTTTTCTTGGGAAATGATACTGATCCAGTTTTTCATCTTCCGGCTTCCGCAGTTTCTTTGGAGGGGTAAACATTTCTTTTAAGGAGTCGGCGCGTGGATTTCAAATGCCTATGGAATAATTTCCCGGTATGTAATGTGAAATCCGCCGCCACCTGGTGCTAGAAACCAAATCTGCATGACGTTATTCCAGAACAGTCAACATTTGGGAACTTATCAGAAAAAAGTAGGTCATACGAATATGGTGTATTTTCCTCGTCAGGCAATTTTACTTGATTTTCCATCTATAAACCCTTAGTAACGCGCAAGACTGCAATTTCGTTGAGAATCGAAGACAAATTGAACATATATTTGAATTCTGAGATTATTTAAAAGAAGATTATTCAATCCTGATGGTGATGTTTTTCCGAAAATAAAGCGGTATCCTCGAATAATGCCTGAATTTGAACCATCATGACAAAGGTGTTCAATTTTAGTTCATGTCTCAATAATTTAATCTTCTTATTGATTTATTTGGATTTTTCAAGAGTTCTGCAATAGTTTCAGCGTTTTAGATTCCGCAAAACGTTTGAAACGAAAGTTTCTAGTGAATAAAATTCAATTTGCAGCTCTTGTCAGAAAATCACTCCCACGCCGGCATCACCTTTGTAAATTAACGAGCGAAAAAGTGAAAAGAAATGATCTGCTAATTTTTGCATGAACGCCATGACAATCTTGAGCCGATTTATCGAGGACAAAATTTGCTCACTGAAAATAAAAAGTTAGCTTAACGCATTCCGCTGGAAAGAACCATTTAATTTCACGAGCTCGTTTGATTTCCAGTAGCGGTTTGATTCGATTCTCATGCAATCTCAGTTTCTCTCTTTCTCTCTCTACTCTTTCAAGAACATGAATTCTCATTGTTATGGTTTTCCCTAAACGGAAGCAAAAATTGGGTGGTTCAACAACGGATCACTCACATGCACTCTTTCTCTCTCTCTCTCTCTCTCACACACACAAAACAGCGATCAGCACGAAAACGCGCTCGCACGGAACCGGAATGAAGAGAGAAGAAAATTTTCCAGCGCGTTCGTTCCATCACCAGGATCACAGAAGCTCGGGTAAAATAACATCCGCACCGGAGAAAAAAAGGAAGGCTATTTTCTTCCGGTTCTCCATCAGTTCGCCATGACAATTCGTCCATAAAGAACAGGGAGAAGAAGCAGAAGAAGAAGAAGAAGGAGAAACCGATGGTTCCTTTTTTGTTCAGGGTTCCGTGTGAGACGGGTTATTCTCCCCGGAACAGAAGGAGCAGCAGCAGCACTCAGAAGGACGACTGATCACACGACCGCGGCCTGTCAAACCTGGACTTGACGCGGTTCCCGGTTACATCGTTGTACCTCGTGGCTGGAACATGGTGAGAAACAAGATGAGAGGACGAGCGATCAATTTCAGGGTTCTTAATCGGATCTCACAAGTACGTAGCCCCAATGATGTTGACATGTCGATCAAAAGACCCGAAACGAAACAAAAAAAATTATATACGAATGACCGCAGGGTACGAGCATAATTTATAATTCACTGAGTTCCTCGTGCAAACAACTGATGGGGGAGGAATTAGCCATATTCTTTTTTTCGTGGGTCGATTTTTTTTTTACCCTGGCATGTACAGTGAATTTTAATTATACTGTAGTGTACCTCCCACAAACAACTGGCAGAGTAATTACCAGTATTTTTACTCCAGTGCAGGCATTGTAATTATTCCATATTGAACGATATACACAAATAAGAAATAAGAATTCTCGTAGTTATCGTAGAATAAAGGTAACCAGTGTTTCAAAAATTAATAAATTTTCTGTTTTGACAAAGAAGCTCGATTGCCAAGATTTTCCTCGCTTTTACTACTTTTTACTTTTTCTTATTTTCAAAATTCATATTTATGAGCTCTAAAAGCAAGTGAGATGACGTTCGTAAGTTATTCTTTCAAAACCTTTCTTGAAAAAACCGATCAGGAATTTTGGCGTCGACGATGATTCAATGCTGTTTTGAAATTCACCTTCGTTCAATTTGTTTCTGAATTTTTAACTAATTAGTTTTTCTTGTTCTTAGAATTCACGAGCAAGATCATCTGGAATATTGCATTAATACCAGAAATGCAAAAATCTAAAAAAAAAAAACTCTGCAGCGTACCTTAGAAGTACTTTGAAGTGATTTCGAATGCGTATGCGATTCTGCTGTCCTCATGATAAATAAATTTGAAATGTATTTAACAAAGGTACACAATTTTCCCAATAATACTGTAGTATGATGCGAAACTTAATTTTGCTCTCCCTATGTTAACTGCATTATGAATGAATTTCTTGTGAGGACAGCGGATCACAGATGTATCACTTCAAAGATATGGTACTTGAGATGTACTTCTCACTTAAGACGAATACTCGATTAACTAGATTTAGAGACAATTGTATATCATCTTTTCTTTCACGGAAAGGGGCTATTTTTATACCTCTGCTATTTGAATTTTCTGCAGCCTTTCAGCGATTATTTTCTTGCTGCTTGAAAGATAAAAGCAATAAAAAAGTAAATTAAGGTGTTTTAAAAGGAAGTGACCGATTACTGTAATAGGGCAAATGAACCCTCACCTCCAAGTTCAGCATGCTGTAAACTCCTTTAAGAAATGATTTCTAAGGCTCAGAATATAATCATTTATAATTTCCTGCAATTCTTTCATGTTTCCCCCCAAAAATGCTTGTTTCCTCAACTATAGAAACCTCTCTACGTCAAATTTTTTTGCTGGTTCCTTGAAATTCGATTTAGAGAGGTTCAACTGATTAAAAGAAATTTCGAAAGCAGCATTTTACTTGAGTAGAGTAACGTTTTACACAGTTCCCAAAACGATTATATACTGTAGAGTTACAGCATCCGTTGTATCGGCAGATATGAGAAAAAGGATGAGGAATTTCCTCGAGCAGAAACTAATGATGCCGGACAATGACCATGAAGGCGAAAGAAGAATGCTCGAGAGGCGTTCATTTCGCCATAAGCCGACGAAAAACAATGCGAGCTCCGACACCAGCACAAGCAGAAAGTATCAGCGGGATGAGCTGGGCAACAGAATCGAATTCCGGACACGTTTTCCGGGTCCCTGTCCAATACGTGGGGCGATATCAAAATTGACTGCGATTTCATAAAGGAATGATGGAGCACACGACGGGAATTTGCGAGAGAGAAAAAAGAAGATCATTTCCCGAATTTAGATATAATTTAATTCAATTAAGTTTTCGGAGGAGAGCTGCAGGTGTTGAAACAAAAATTGTCTTTGATTGTCCTTGATTGATGTTTTCGTGTTTTTTTTCTTTTGCAAGGTTTGGATAGATCGAAATGATTATCTTTCCTGAAGCAATAGCCGGCTTCGGTTCAAGTACTGTACCTCAAAACAAGTACAATCTTTATTCTAATTGAATATTTTCAGAGGAATGAATTTCTACCTGAAACAACTTTTGCGCCTTCTTTCCCATCAGTATACAGTACTTCGTTTAAAAGAATATAGAAAAGCTTTTTCATAACTCTTCTTATCATCTAAAAATGGAAATTAACAAAATTCAGGATTGACAAGTCGAACATTTTAGTTCGATTCAAAGTCAATCATCTTTCTTGAGGATAAATTTGAACCAAATTATTTTTGGGTTGGACTTCACCAAAGTTTCCGAGAATTAAAACCTACCATGCAAAAATGGTGGATGAAAATGATAACCTTTTCGAAATCGCTAAATTTCTTCTGTTCAAACTTTTAGGTTAATTATATAATTTATTTTCAGAAGAAATTTTTTCTCGAACCCCATTTTTCGAACTTCTTATTCAATTTTGAAATACAACACCAAAGCACGTCGGCACCATCGAAAAAATGATAATGGAGATGAATTTCTGCTTTGAGAAGACCATTTATTGAAATCACGTCAACTACTCCGATCTAGGAATTGAAGTTATCGGATATACAGCACTGTACATATTTATTGAAAAGAAAAAAAAATTCATCACATCTCACGTCTTGCCAAAATGGTATTTCAAATACAATAATAAACTTGAGTATAACCCCTTTCATGCAAAGAAAAGGAGAGAAGAAAAGGCACTCACAGTAGTTGAGTTGGACGCGGGCCGGCGGCGTTGACGGGTAAACGTCGTGATGGGACTCGCGGAAGCTCTCGTCCGTCGAATAAACGTCGTCGGCGTTGCCGACGTCGAGGTGGTGGTCGTGGTGGTGGTGGTGGTGGTGTGGGTACCAGTCTCGGGACGCCGCCATGAGGTCCGACACCGACGGCGTCACTCCGTAGTGGCCCCGAGCTGTCATTGTGGCTGTGGCCGTCAAGGCGGCCGCGTTTTTGTGTCGAGTCAGCGTGCCGCCATTCGTCACTTGAAAATTAATCAGGAAAGCGTCGAAGCGTCAACGATTTTTCCTATAACTTAAGCAAGTTCACTCGAGATTTTTAAATACAATTTTAAATCATCGCGAAATATTTTGGAAGGATTGATTTTCAATAAGAATAAATGCGAAAGTTTTTAATAATTAATAAATAATAATTAATGATGAATAATAATAAATAAGAATTAATAAGAAATACTGTGCTCGATTTTTCGAAGGTTCAAGATCTAAATAACGTACAACGTTATTCTCCAAATGTTACACCTCTCCAAAGAACGTTTTGAACGGAATTATTTACAGAGTAATACATTTTTTGCTTATTCTTCTACTTTCTTTCATCGGTTTTATGCGCTGATGATACCCTGAAACTTCGGATAAACCTACACTGTTGAAATACAGAATACTTCTGTCCGAACTTTAATATGGCTTATTAAGGCTTAGTTTTACAGTATATTGTCATGTACCAAAGGCAGCTAATGCACCACATTGGATCACAAGTTATTTTCCTGTAAGCGTTGCCAATTTGAGTTTCGTGAAGCTCACCAAGCTTCTTTCGAGACTGAGTAACTTGTCTGAACTTTTATAATTTTTCTTTTAAGTTTCAGACCATCGAGGACCAAGAAGGAAATCGCCATACTTCTCGAAGACCGACGAAAATAGTTTATTTTGAAAATTCATGATTTCTGCTCTGGAGGAAAAGTGCTCCAGTGACAAACAAAAAATGTCCATTCAAAAACTTGAGATCTAACTCAAATAAACAAGAATAATCTTAGCTAATAAACCAATGAAAATTGTACTGAAAATGGCCAGTGAATTACATTGGATAAAACCTAATTACTGTATACGAAAATCAGTGCCGAGAAGGAATATGATCTGGCAAGAGTTGAGTCGTTTGACGAGAGCGAATTCTGAATGTTGAATTTTTTTAAACATATTCCTTCGCTGGAAGTGAACTCGACATTATTCCCATCTTATTTCTCTTCTTTTTTTTTAGCAGTCACACTTTTCCCCGCAATTTAGAGTGCAAAACTGGGCCTCTATATATGTACTCACTGCGGTGACTTCTCACTGCAACCGGGGTGGAAGAGGTGTAGAAATCCCGGCCATTCGGAAAATCACGCCCGATGGCACAAGGGCTCAGGTCATGCGTCATGGCGGCGAACGGGGCCAATTCGTACGGGTGCTCCACCGCTGTTTAGTTTTCCCCCCACCATTAGGAATTTTTTTTTTTGGATCCACAGGAAAACCCCACACACACACAAAGATACACACGGGATCAATCAACCTCATTAAAATGCGGAAGTGCGACGAACTTCCAGAAAATCCAGAATACGAATCAGCCGAGCCGAAACTTACCGTTGCTGGTCGGGTGCGCGGTGTACACGTGGGATGACTTGGGGTTCTGGAAATCCACGTGGGAGTAACCCTGGTCGTAGTTGGTGGAGTACTTGGGGGCCTCGCGCCGCATTTGCATCATCATCAGCGCTTCACGGCGCCTGCAAAAAAATAATTAATTAGCATTTCTTGAATATTATTATCTATTTTTTCATATATGCCGTACGTTTTTAAACGAGATGGTTTTCTTCAGGCCTACAACATGGCTTTTCAATAGGTGCTAAACGCACAGGTTGATGTTTGATTATAAAAAAAAAATTATAATTTGAGCCGAGCTAAGGAGCACGCCATGAAGACCGTTCGCGGGGATGAACTCGGAGAAAGTTCGCGCATTAGTCAAAATATTAGACGAGTCATCATTTTCTGAAATGCAATCATCTGTTGACGATTTTTTTCTAAAAATTAGAGTGTCCAACACAAAATGTCTCCAATATAGCCTTGCGAAATTCCCCCAGTGTCAACAGCTCGAATAAAGATTAAGCAAAATATATACAGTATTTAAAAGATTATTTTCGATTGAGATTTCAGTTGAATGTTCTCTACGCACATTCCAAAAGAATCAGGTACTTGATCCTACCAAGTGCTTCAGTACTGCAATGTATACGTTAGCGATTGTTTGAAATGATTTGCCCTAGACTAGATTAACCGTATGCATTCTGACCATATTTACGAAATCAGGAGATACTGTATTGCAGTATAGTAAATTGAACTTATTTTTCTACTTTTAAACCAAAAAGATCAACATATAGCTTCGAATGAATGCTTCCAAAATCCTTCTGAAATTTTAGTACACTACTGTATTCCACAAAATAACTGATTATAACATTATGCATGAGTACATGATTTCAGCATGGGTTGGCATTGAACTATAATCGAAGAATACTTCGTAACCAAACCGAAATTTTATGTCAATTTGAGGAAGCATTCAGCACCTTTTTCCTCCGATTGGTCTTCGATCATTGCGATTGCATACACATTTCTGCCTGCTGAAAGACTATAAATTGCTTTAATTTTTCATTCTGAGAAACCTTTCTTGAACCCCGCCTTTCTAATTGTTCAATGACTTTCAGTAACTAGCTGATTTGTTTGTTACTCAACTGAATTTTTGCACAAAAAAACGTAGAATTTGAAATGCCTGCCATACAGGTGCTCATTAAGCAACACTTTTTTGAGTCTGCAAAAATGAAATGATACTTTGCCGGTCTGCAAAAGTGTTAATAGAAATTTGACGGGTCCACGGGCCCAAAAACGTCGGGGAACACTGCTCTGAATCAATATTTTAAAAGTTCAGCGAACAACAAACCACGCATTCATCGTGGGTAATTGCCAATTAACCAAGTGAACTTGATGAAGAGGCACGGAAAGATGATCTTTCCGCGCGTATATAGAACATCGATTAGCCCTTCCGAAAGCCGCGCGCCTAAATCTCGAGCACATGCATCATTAATGACCCGAGTTTCAAAGCTGATAGAATGAGGGATTCGATAAAACCTCCCATAACCCAACGCATCTTTCTTATTACCCCCTATTTTTATCATCTTCCGAAAGAAGAAAACTTTAATCAGAAATCTATCGACCTTCTTTGCGCGATGAAGCAGCCACTGGCGATTACGACGACGATCACGCATCCCGACACCGACATGGGAACGACGACGAAAAGGTCTTTGAAGAATGGCGGAGATCTGGCGTCCCAATTCGGCGGTCGCTCTAACCCACCAGCGGGGGCACCTTCAATCAGAACCCACTCGATGTTGGGCACTTCGGAGTCTGCAATTGTGCCGGCGAACGTGAGCGAGAACTTTTTGAGCGAGCCTCCGACTGCTTGCAGTCGGACGAAGTACGTCTGGAATGAACCATCCAAGAACTTTCGGATTAGTCAGATGAATGTAGGGCATCTTTTCGTCTTATACACGAGGGCTCTAACAAAGGTTCTCGGAATAGAAATTAAAATGGCATATAATTGAGCTGGAAAAAAAATTGTTCTTTAAGGAAAACATATTCTTTGGCACAGAAAAAAATCAGCCCTGTTTGACAAAATTTTTTTACTGTTTTGCAAAATTCACCCTGGCAGAGTTTTGCTCTCCACTCAAAAAATGAGGTGCCCTTTCTGCAGATTTTGTTGTTGGAGCCCAGCTTTCCCCTCAGAATTCTTGAAATCAAGGTTGCATTAATTACAAGGTTTGCCTCCAGGTCTTCCAACGTAATTCCGCCATTTTCATCAACAGCCGCCAACGTGGCAGCTAATGTGGAAAGGCGCCTAATCTTTCGAGTGGAGAGCAAAACTCTGCCAAGGTGAATTTTGCAAAACATTTAAAAAAAATTTCGAACAAGGCTGATTTTTTCTTGTGCCAAAGAATATGCTTTTCCTAAAGAATACTTTTTTCGGCTCAATTATATGCCATTTTAATTTCTATCCTGAGAACTTTTGTTTGGCCCCTCGTATCTCTCTTTAAAGTGAAACAAAATTGAAGGAGAATCCAGTACGTGAGGGCATTAACCCAAGACCCTCGAAAAACACGAAACTAAAGGGAAAAGTATCTTTTCAGAAAAAAACAGAATGTTCATTTCATGTATAAAATTCGCATCATTTGCATGGGCGTTCTAATCAAACGAAGGAAAATTTGCATGATCTTTTAGCGTCGATGAATAAAATTGACCCAAGCCATAAATTCGTCAAGCATGTTATTTATTCACGACGAGTTGGGCCATGACTGCGGATAAAACGTGAAACTAGTTTCCGTCAGCTGTTCCTTCATGGAGTGCATTAAAATCAGACGAGGACTGTTCCATTAGCAATGAACATATTTCAAGACCTTTCTCTTTGAGCTTTGATCCAGTCAACTGATAAGCGAAGTTTGGATGGCTTAACGAATTAAAAAAAAAAAGTTATTCTTGACAACCGTTCTCTTGCCGACTACACCGATACAGACCTCAAAGTGAGAGGTTCTTCATATTTCTCAAAAGTATGTAACAGTCATTCAATTTTGAACATAGCGGCCGCTCCGAAAACAAGTTTCATCCGAAATCGTGACCCATCTAATACTAAATAAATAACTAGCACTAAACTAAAGGATTCAGCTACTTTTAGTCTTATACCGCAGTTGGTTTAAATGTATAGAATGAGTGATTCCATATATTTACATTTTCCTGGTCAACCAAAAATAATACAAACATTTACTTTTCAGCTTTCACAATCAGGTGAACAGGATTTTGAATCTCAGCCATATATGGAAAAAATACCTTAGAATCATAATAAAACGACGCAGCGCCAAATTTATTCGAAATGCAATATTTCAGCTGAGGGATGATTCGTAAAATTTGGATTTCAAAGCTCAATTTTGATTCAAATCGATACAAAATAAAATAAAATGAAACGCTGACATGAATAATTCATGAAAACTTCATAAAACAGGCACAATCATTGAATAAATAAATTAAGTGGACGCTTAGATAAATCCATGATTTCCTGAATTTTTGTTCTCAATTTTTATTCTAGTGCCGTAGCATTTTCGTTTACACTATTTTCTTCCGTGGCGGGTTTTCGCGATATTATCGTCGTAAAGTAGCAGTGAAATGCAATGCATGAAAAAGTTTGATGACTTTTTTTTTTAATGTAATTTCTGGGTGTCACAAAATCTTTGGGACGATGAAATTGTTGCCGAGTTCCATGGGAAATTATTTTTTTGGTAGCTTGTAGCATTCAGTCTGTTGAAACGAATACAGTATACTGTACTGTACTGAAAAATCTTCAAGTTCGTCTTTGCTCAATATAACAACTTCTGGGTGGAGCGATAAGAACGGTTCCTGGAAACTACCGTAGTGGTCTATGTCACAGTTTGAATTGTTCCCAGCTCCTGGTGAATAAATGACTTGCATGATTAATTTATGCCTCGGGTCGATTGTAATCATAAAAGCTATAACCCAGTATCGTTTTCCGCACGTAATTGGACATTCTCTGATCAGCCAATACAGTGAAACTTCGAATATACGCGAAGTCTAACTGGTTCCTTTTTCCGAATAATCGAATTTCACGAATAATAAAAAATACTGTACTTCACTCGAAGGCTCAGACGTTTCAAGAATGAGATAGACATAGAATAGTATAACTGTACTGTGCACAAAATCTCACGCATCTCGATATAAATTAGCTAGTAAAATACAGGTCACATTTACGGAAAATTAATACTGTATTCCTGCAATAAAAAAAAAGTTTAAAGAGCGGATGCACCGGGTTTCGAAGTGCGATTGAGTGATCAGTTAATCCACATTTCATCCCCTGACCCCCTTGCTTGAAAAAAAATTGAAAGAACCACTAGAAAAAAATATCAAAATACAGTGTATACCGAAGGGATTGAATCGAAACACTGTACAGTACGTGAAAGAAATACAGTACTGTACTTTACTGTAATAATAGAAGGATAACTTACGCCTCTCGAGGTGAACGGGCCAATGGCGTGAGGCGACTCTCCGGGGGTGTCGCCGTCGTAAACGGCGTCCCAGTCGTCGTCCAAACTCGGCCTGACGTGCACAAAGTACCTCTTAGCCACGCAAAACCCGCCGCTCCAAATATACAGGTGTACTGCAACGTGGGTTTTGTTCCAAGAAAACAAATACTTGGGGTCCGCCGACGGTGGTTCTGCTGAAAAAACGCGATAAAAAAGAACCCCTCAATTCTCGAATAAGGTGACCTTTCCATTGATGGAATTTTGTTTTCTCCGCTTTACTTTTATTCTTTCTTCGGCCGCAAATCAGATCAGACGTTCGATTTTAATCGAAGTCATGGATCTGTTTGTAAGAGTATAATGATGGTAAAATAAATACTGTACCGGCAGAATAATGGGCTTCAATTCAATTTTGTTTCAAACAGGGAGGTGCCCGCGTGAGATCCACAGTTTAGTTTTCTCTTTTGAACTAATTTCCCGGCGTTTACCGTAGAGTAAAAGGATTAGAAGGTTTTAAAAAAATGTGATTTTTGTTTTCGTCTCTATATATGGAACGTACCTTCGGATTTCGTTTGAAAAGTTCTGGGCACGGAGAAGCGACTGATCCCATGGGAGTTCCTAGCCCTGATTTTGACCTCGTAAGTCGTTCCACAAAGCAGATCAACGAGATGAGCCTCAGTGTCTTCTGCAAATGCTTCTGCAGTTTGTTCTGCGTCTCCCGACGCTTGTTCCCTGTACATAATCTCGTATCCTAATGGCGAGGAGAAAGTACGCATTAATCACGCTCAATTATTCGCACACAAAAAATGCACAGATTTTCTCATTGATTGAATTCGCTTCACTTGAGCAGCTGACGGAAATCCCAAAAACAATTTTGAGATCGGGCTTCAAATTCTTCTATATATACAATAGGATAAATTGGAAAAAGTAGCCTGAACTCATCAGAAACATTACTTTTTAGCCCTTCCGTATTCAGTGGCCTGGTAATGGGTTTCTCCGGGGTCTATAGACACAAAGTTGGACCTTGAAAACTCAAACCTCCTTATGTTGAATTATTTTTTACAAGTCCCTGCCTGAATTATCATAAAAATAATACTGTACATTAAAAATCATTTCACCTCAGAGGATTTCCCCTCGAAAACAATACAGTACTGTAATGTATAGTATAACTCAAATTTTCTGGGGGCCTTATTTTATTGAAATAGCCACATAAGAATGAGAAAAGCAATAAAAATGTAACCAATCGTTTTGAAAGGAAGTGAAAGACCATTTGGGCAAATGAATCCTTGCATAAAGTTCAGCATCTTGTCCACTAATTCAAACATCAATTTAACTCAGGCCATGAATATCAGTAAGTACAATTTCCTGTTATTTTGTTTCTTCCCCTCAGCAAAAATACTGTACTTGTTTCTCTAACTGGAAACCTCTTTATCTCGTTTTTCTTCTTTTTTTTACCCTCGAAATTCGATCTAAAGAAGTTCGACTGTAGTCGTTCCTCGATGTAAATTATTCCGTAAAATGACTTTTTAGGTACTCGACATATCTTTGTAACGGATCAAGTTAATTAAGAAAGGTACCCCTGCAGTACTTTTACACAGTACTTGCCTTCAACGACGATGAAAGGGTCTTCTATCAGCCGGATAATGACAGCTTGATAACCGATGGCGTCCAGTGCAAAATCTGGCACAGCCGGGGCACTCAACACCTTGAGCGTGTGCACAACAACGTCCGAACCATGGGCACATAAGAATGAGAAAAGCAATAAAAATGTAACCAATCGTTTTGAAAGGAAGTGAAAGACCATTTGGGCAAATGAATCCTTGCATAAAGTTCAGCATCTTGTCCACTAATTCAAACATCAATTTAACTTAGGCCATGAATATCAGTAAGTACAATTTCCTGTTATTTTGCTTCTTCCCCTCAGCAAAAATACTGTACTTGTTTCTCTAACTGGAAACCTCTTTATCTCGTTTTTTTTCTTCTTTTTTTACCCTCGAAATTCGATCTGAAGAGGTTCGACTGTAGTCGTTCCTCGATGTAAATTATTCCGTAAAATGACTTTGTAGGTACTCGACATATCTTTGTAACGGATAATTAAGAAAGGTACCCGAGTGCAGTACTTTTACACAGTACTTGCCTTCAACGGCGATGAAAGGGTCTTCTATCAGCCGGATAATGACAGCTTGATAACCGATGGCGTCCAGTGCAAAATCTGGCACAGCCGGGGCACTCAACACCTTGAGCGTGTGCACAACAACGTCCGAACCATGGGCATTCGCTGCAGTGCACGTGTATTGTCCCGCATCGCCAATTTCCACGTTTCGCACGGCCAGGGGCGCCGCAGACACCGACATCAGATCCCCGGGCGGCGCCAACCCGGTTTGGCGAGCAATGGTGGCGCCGTTGACCAACGACGTGGAAGAGGAGGCGGCCGGATCCAGGACGACGAATTTCTGATTGGTCGACGAGGTTTCTGAATCGCGATCGGATTGTCTGTGTTGGTTCTGTTGTTGTTTGCTGCGTAGGGACGGGAACTGCCAGGTTATCTTCGGTTGTGGGTTTCCCACTGCTTCGCAAGGCATTTTCGCGACCTCGTTTTCGAATGCTGCGATTGTCCGGCCCGTGGTTATTATGCGAACAGGAACTGTTGAAAAAAAGATTAAGACCAGTTTGTTTTTTTTTAAATACAGGGGTTCTCTGGTCAGATTTTCTGCAATAAAAACTCGCGTAGCGTCGAATTTCAGCGTTGGATAGCAGGCAGCACCGCTCGGGTAACGGATGAATTTATACTAGTAATTTATGCTAAAAATAATGAGGTTGATTCCGGAAATGTGGCTCCCACCTTCATTTAAAAAAAAACAGGAACAGGCTTTTTTTGTTTTTAGGTTCTATGGGTGTTTTGGGTGTCAAGTTCGTAACCCGTTGAATAAAGTCCAACTGTCAGGTCATCTTACACAGGATACGTTCTACTGCCGGAGTACTGCTTCCGCGAAACTTACGTCTCTAAATCGATTTGGCACAGATTTGAAAATTATTGAATGGTCTGGAAATTATCAAATAAATATACTGGTCACAGGTTTTCGAAAAACCCGCTACAGAGACAAAAATGGCGTTTGAGAAATCGCTGCAACCGAAGCATTGCACGAATGTAGACAATAAAAACCAAATTCAGATCTACCACACAGGAAAGAATCAACGAAAGATAAAAACAATTCCTCCTGAAGCCAAATAACCGAAAACAACCTTGAAATAATAATCACTGCTCGAAAAAAAAATCGAATTTTCGGATATGTTCTTCGCCACATCTTCATTCAATTGACATACTGGAAGTTCTTTTTGAAGCTGTTTTGGCAATTGGCATCACTGTTTTCGAATGCAGTACAGATATCTTCTCTAGCCACGGGTTTCGTTCGACTTTTTCATATTTTGCTGTGGGTTTCATTTGACCATATCGCCTTCTACATAAATAAAAATTGTATCTTTTGTTCAATGTAAAAAATATTTTTAACTACCTTTCCATTCAATTTTAAAATCTTCACATTTAGCATTCAATTGGCCCATTATCTTCCATGAGGAGTTCTACAAAGCGTCATGTTTTCTTGGCCGCATTTCCGTTTGAAGCCATTCAGCTACCTTCTTTATTGAGACTGCAATATTAAATTTACTCAGCAAAAGTCGTCCGAAATCCGCGTGTATAAAGTGCTTCAAAAATTTGATTTCATCTTTGATTTATCGCAGAGATTTTTGAAGGATCACGCGGCGAAAAAGCTACAAGTGACTACCCAACCGAAAATAGGACGTTCGATTCGCCATGAGATACCATCTTTGATTTGGTTAACCTGAATGGAAACCAAAGGCAAAAAACGGCGCTGAACAAAATCAGGGCACATTCAATGTTGAACTGAAGAGTGAGACCCCCACATTCGGACACCTTGACCTGTGAACAATTTGACATAGGGACACTCATTTTCCCATGAAAAATTAATGAAAAAGGCCCAACATGAGGACACTGACTCAACATATGGATATTTTGTGATAAAATTGCAAATACATTTCAGGCCAAATTACAAGAAACGGATATTTCCAACCCAAAAATTGATGTAAGAAAAGTTCTTGTGCATTTCTCTCACCAATTTACCATTCATTTAGCTAACTTGGAAAAAGTACCTCCAGCATAGTGGGACTTCCCTCTCTCTTCTTCACTTGAATGTTATTTTTACAGAGAATGCCAACATTTCTATGTACCGTACAGAGGTATCAGTATTCAATTCCCCAATTTAACATATTGTGTTGAAATATATTGATTGAATCAGTTTAAATTGGGAGACAATTTTTATTTTCATGGAATTATAGTGAGTATTTTGTACATAAAACACCAATTAAAAATTAAATAATGTAAGTCTAAGGGAAAATGAGACCTGACTTAGGGACACTCATGATACACCAATTATGTCTCAATCTTGGGGTCTCTATGTATGTAAACCATGAATAAAATGCATAAAAATTATTCAGCATCAGAGAATGGTGCGGCAAAAGCATTTGCGCTTAATTCTGAACTAAGAGGATGGCTTGAATTAAGAAGTACTAACGAGCGTGTAAACGAGGGTCCATGATTACTGTTCCGTTCATACTGTGCCGAGTTTCCCTTGCGAACAAGTGTTGAGGGCTAATCGTCTGGTTATTCCCTATTATCACTTCATGCAAGATTACATGGGATGAATACTTGCTGAAAATATATAGCACCAGTTTAACATTTTACAATAGGCTTTCTTTTCCATTAGAGAATAACTCCGTTTTTCTCCTGAAATAATGGGAATAGGGATACAGCATCAGTTGGGATTGTGGCACCGTGTGTTTCGTATAGTGGATGATATTCGATTTATACGCGTAAACTATGGGTTTCGTTTACAGTGAGAGCTTTAAATTCTTATTCAGAAAAGTACTGCGCCATTCTTTTAAACATGCTTTCTAATTAAGGACAAAGTTTCAAATTGGAGTTCAGAAGAAAAATTTGCTAGCCACAGTAAAATCTCGGAGGGGAATATAGTACAGTACTGCACAATCATCGGAATAAATGAAAGTTCAATTGGCTTAATCAAAGTTGTAAATTGTAGCCTGTAAAAAATTAAATTCGGTTTAACTTTAATCCGTATAATTTCGGTATCATTTTAATCATAAATTTCAAGCTGACTAATTCAAAATGCATTACTCTTGATCTTTTCTACAGTTTCGTTTTCTGCTTACTATAACCGTCTGCATCGAAATTCGTTCAGGGCTCTTTCAAGTACGTCCAAATTCATGAGAAATTGTCCTGAACTTCAGTGTAGTTTGAAATCAGTTATACAAACTGTAAATCTGGTAACGAGGGGAGTGGGTTTAATCGCTTCTTGGGCACAAAAAGGTTCACTTTAACTTTCTTGGGAAATATTTTGCTTGGGAATGCTCTGACGTGGCCAAGATTTAGTGAATCATGCAAAATCAAACTTTGTTAATCTTATTGAAATTGATTTTTCGATGTTGATACGTTTCCGTCGGGTCTGCCCAAATAACGTTCCCTGTAACAAGATGATACTGCTGCACCTGTATAAAAGAAAATGCCTCTTTATTCCAGGATTACATTTCCATCGCTTTTTAAAGAGACTTGTACTGTACTTGCACAAAGGACTGTAATCTTGGTAGAAATGTGCTGGTAATTTCAAAATAACTTTCTGAATACCCCCCTGTTGATCCCGGCAGGGAAGAGGAAGCAATAAAACCAAAAACTGGTTTCGACAACACGGCAAACGGCTGGAGTCTGGCAATAAACAGGGCGACAAAAGCCGGTCGGTAACAGAGGGGTGTCCTTTATGTAACCGGTGAAACCCGACGACCTGGTGTATCTGTTTACATGAAAACAAAAGTAATGGCCTGTGCTTTGCCTTCCGAAATTGCTTCGGCTGCCAGTTCTGTTGGTTCAGTTACAACTTGAAATAGGAGCGAACTGCTACAATAAAGCAAAACGAACATCACACATGGACTAAAGCAGGCCTTCGACAACGAGATGTAAGTAACTGCTCTCGACTTCTGAGGCTCTGTACAGCTTTATTTTTCCGAGTGAGTGTTTCTCTTATTTATATGTTGAATACAGTACTGTAAAGGTACGTCTCTATGCGTCAAGCATTTTTCCTGTGCGAAACCCCTTCCGTAGATGGTGAGTGATTTACAAATTTAATTGCTGAAAAGATTTTCGGCTCTAATGAAATTTACTCCTTCGGCTTTTTTCTACCAACAATCGAGGGAACAATTCGGAAAAACCTCTTTCATCATGAGAGAGTGGACTGGTATTTTTTGAGAATTTGTAAAAAAAAATGTGTAGTGTGATCTAACAATACTTTAATTGTGAGTATGTGTAGTTATACTTGTAAATTTGTAATTGGAACATGCAGTATTTCTTTTTATGCATGTTGATCAACAATTTCTTTCAATTTTTCTATGGAACCCTCATGAAGGACGATATCTGTAATTGCCACACAGAACATTTTCCAAAAAACATGCAGTATTTATTTTTTTGTATCTTGATGAAAAATTTATTTCAATTTTCTATGGAATCCCGATGAAGTACGGTATCTGTTGATATAACACAGAAATTTTTCCAAAATTACTGTAATTCATTCGAGGCCGTGGAAAGTTTTGGATACCAGCTTCTGTGCACCTGTGTCATAAAGACAGATTTTATGACACCTGATTTTTTGCATATACAGCACAATATCCCAAAATTCTCTCACCTGCGATTCAAATTAAAATGCATTTTACGACTTACTGCGATTTTCTGTGTCCCTCAATTTTCCAAGAATATCGATTACCTTTGGGTTTCAAGTCATATACGTTGAATTAAATTGTATTTTGAATTAATTTGTATTAAATTGTGTACGATATTTCGTATCACTTTCTTATACAAATTTACGACCCGTCTACGCAAGAAAAAATTTCGCGCACCACCGCATTTTTGTCTGCGTACCACCAGTGGTCGCTGGTACAGTACCACATGCTGAAAAGACCGGGTCCAGAATCTTTGCCCTAGCACGTCTTTTTCGTTTGACAACGAATGGAAGCTCATTATCGAACGCTTTCCATGGCAAAGTAACTCTCGGATATTTCCCTTTCGTCTCGAAAGCAGCAGCTGGAGCAGCTCAGGCAAGTCGGAAGCGAGCACTTCCTGCGACACGCCTGGAATGCCTTGCATATATGCGAGCGTGGCACCGGAAGTCCCCAGAGGACTTCCGATGGAAAGTTTTCATCAGGCGGCAGCATCGCGGAAAAACGGCGGAAATTCCATCTCGCGCACTTCGAATGCTAGCAGTACAACTACTGTATAGCGGAAGCAAGAGGGGAGATGGAAAGGACCGACCGAACAACGAAGATAATCTGGTGAAAAAGTTTTCGCCCGATAAACAGATTTCAGCTTTTCTCCGCATGCCATTTCAGGAAATCCCTGATGAGCCACTGCTGAATGAGGGTCTGACTGCATTCACGCAAGTTTTTATCAACTTCGGGTGGAAAAAAATAAAGCTTTCGAAGTACGGTATTAGGTATTACTGATACAATATTCGCAAGTGACAGCGTGATTGTAAATTTCCTTCACTTATTCCATCATCAGCGTAGACTGCCATGTCAGAGATTACTTTTGTTTTGCACGATATGAGAGTCAGTGAGTCTGCAAAATTCTGAAATCCATGCGTCAGTTTAATCATGTTCCGACGAGAAAACTTCCCTCCTGTTTACATTGTCTGCGTTATCATACTCGTAAGAGTGAAGTTATGAGGCTATAATGATATAAAACATCCTTCATGCGCTGCACCTGCTTTTCCTGATATTGCTTATTAAAGAGCAGAAAAAAAAACAACGCGGAAATCGAATTCCTGATTTGAAAAATCCTGTGGTAGAATACTAATAAAAGTATTTAGAAATAGGACTGGATCGGTGAAATTAAATTGTTGAACCCAAAAATTTCTGTAAGGTACAGTACATAAAGAATCACTTGGATTTGTGAATATTTGCAAAAAATTATAAATGACTGAAGCATCAACTGATCCACGGGAAAATTAATAGACAAGCTTTTAGATGACAAACTAAAATCCCTAATTTTTTTACTTCTGAATTTCCTTGGAAATTATGCATCAAAAACATCTCTGACTCAAAGGCTCTCTGATGCGTAAAATCTTCATTAATTGAATGATCTGGAGGCCTTTTGGTTGTCATTTCATTGACACAGAAAAGAGAAGAGCAATAGGAAATGAACTTGATTTGTTTTGAAGTGAAAGACTGATTGCAAAAATTAACCATTACTATGAACCATTCTGTCAACTCATTCAAGAAGCGATTTGTGGTTAAAAATATCACCAATTACAATTTTCGTATTTTTTCTCTCTCTCCCACCCCCGACCCCCCCCCCCCCCCCCCCCNNATTTTTTTTTTTTTTTTTTCCCCCCCCCCCCCCCCCCCCCCCCCAATGATTGTTTCCCAAACTCGAGTTTTTATTTATTTTTTGCTGGTTCCTTGAAGTTTGATCTCAAGAGGTTCAACTGAAGTTCCTCCAGGATCAGTTTTCAGAATCTGGTTCAAGCCGTCATCTTCATGGATCCCGTGAAAAAAAAAATTCAAAAATTACTGCAAACGTTTCATGAGAATTTTCTCCAAGCTGCCTTTCAATTTTCCGAGGTACACGTTAAAGTACTCATCATGGCAGCTGTGCCTTTTTCCTCCCTCCATCGTCCACGGTAATCATAAAATGCACGTGAAGCGAAGGCCGACAACTCCATGCAGCACGGAAACGGCGGCACAGTTGGGAAAACCAGCAAGCAAGCAAGCAGGCGAGGTATACCTTTCCACTATACACCAGTACAAGAGTGGATGCAAAGGGGGGGAGGGGGAGGTCAATCAAAAGTTTAGCGAACCTGTTTTCGACGGGATCTGGGTAACGACGGGCGAAATAGGACTTTCGCCGGCAGCGTTGCGAGCCCGAAGCCAGAACTCGTAACGATTTCCTTCCTCCAGGCCTCGGACGACCTCTCGCGTGCTGGCGCCAACGGGTTCGGACAAGATTTTTGCGTGACCCCTCTGTTGGAAAAGTAGCAGAGCCAAAAAATATGCCTATAGAATTCGTATAGAGAAGCAATATGGCCGGGTCAAATGAGCGCCAAGTGCAACTACTAGACGCCACGTAAATGCGCGTCATGACCCAGCTGAGCGCCATCAAACGAGCATCAAGGACGACTGAGATATGCAACCCTAATTTTTAAAATATTTTCTCATCGAAGTTGGCGACTGATATTTCAAAATTATTTTCTTATCGAAGTTGGCAACTGTAATACGAATATTTAATTTTTTAAATACAGCACAGTGGTATTACAGTGGCTCAAACGGCAAATGTTTTGAGTCACAAAATCGTGTTTCCCGCAATTGGAAAAATTACCATACTCCAACACTAAAATCGATTTAATACAAATCCCATTGAAACTTGAAGTATTCAATAGGAGAAAAAAAATTTACATTGACATTCGAACGACATCAATGCGTAATCGCAGAGGCATTTTAATTTTGTATGAGTGAGCAAGAATTTGTCGAATGAAGTTTGCACAAGATTATTCTGTACAAGAACGACTTCCCGGAAGACAAATCATCGTTTCACGGGAAAATCCTCGACTTCGCATGCACAATTTGCTTGTACAAATGGACAGTACTTGCCAGTCCCGTTTTCTGCGAAGACGTTCAAACAAGTCTCTCCATGCTGAGGTTTTTATGTCCGCACGTTTAGCTCAGGCAACTAAGGGATATCGGCTATTGATACGACTTATTTTTCAAGAAGCTCTGTGTAAAATGTGTATTTACTAAAAATTTAAATCGAACCTCGATTCGTCCATGTTTCTGAACTGTGCTACATTGAAAGGCTTCAAACCATCGTCGCCCTATATTCAGAATAAGTCACCAGTTTAAATTTTCTTTGTCCCGTTTATTCTTCTGGACAGGATACTTGATAAAACATGAATTATTTTCCAAAAAATTATCGGAAATGTACATATGATCATTATTCAGAATACTAGAAACCATGAAAACTAATCCTGGCATTTTGTTTCCGTCGCAATTCGACCTCCCGCAATTCGACGGTCAAATTTTCAGGGAGATTGATTTGCAACCTGCTTTGGCCACTTTTTGCGCTTTTCTACTGATATTTTTGAATTTCACAGTGGCTTGCAATTCAACCCTAGTTTGGCAATGGATTAGGGTCGAATTGCGAGGTACTACCTGAGCAATGTTCCCAAGATCTCATCGGAAATCATCATCAGCACCGCGATTGAGATCGAAAACAGCAAGAATCATTCAACAATCTGCTGTCAGTTTCATGCGAATGCTGAATGTGTGTGTGTTAAAAATAAAATAGACGATTTTCGGCGGATTTCCGAGGAATCGAAACTGGGTTTCTCACCTGTGCGACTTAGGGCTTGTTCCACATCGCAACATGTTGTGGTAAGCCGAGAAGGCCACCGTTGGTGCTGTGGTGCTACCTTCAGCCGCTGAAGTGTTGCCGGAAGTGGACTTGGCCCCGTGACCCATGACGTCCAGTTATAAATATAAATCAAAACCCCCAAGAAAAACAACGTCGGTGATAAAAATCCGAGCCCAAAGAAACCAATTCCCCCGCTTGAATTACAACTCATGTCCCGCGCATCCAACTCCGGCGGGTTTCACCCGAAAATCCCAGTCACTCGTTTCAGCCAAAGTTTTTTAAATTTCTTCCTATTACGAAACAAACTGGAAATGTTCTAAAGTTTCTCACAATATTCAAGTCTTTCTGGAAACAAGTTATTGATAACCGGTAATTCCATTTTTAATCATCAATTTCCCAGGCTTCATGATTTTTTTTTTAATTTTAATATCGCGTAAATCTTGTTACGCAGTACAGTGCTGTTTTAATTAGGTGATTTAGTTAGATTATGTTAAATTGAATCAGCTTGACTTGTCAATGCATTCGAAAAGCATCCAATCCAAGTAAGTGACAGGAAAACTAGTCCAATCCCCGTTCCGCTAAGGGTGTCGTGAACAGCGTACTTTTTAGCCTTAACATATCCTTCTTTTTAAACCGTGATTTAATAAAATGGCTCATTTTCTTCCGTTTCTAAAATCTGCCGAATTACATGAGCGCAAAAACCTTTTATCTCTGATCAATGGGAGAGATAACACGAGTAATGTTTAAGAATGAACTCTGAGACAATTGCATTTTCGGAAGTTTTTGAAAGGCAGGAGTACAGAATTGAAAAACAAAATCTGATGAGCGTCAATTGAGTGAACGGTAAGGTTTTGTTAAGAACCCCCTTTGGAACAGAAACAACGTTTCTGTACACACACACAAAAAAAGGTTGATGAAGCAGGAAATGTCTAACAAGATATCGTGCACAAAACCATTTACAAGTTACTACTACCAGGGCATGAATGCTTATCTCTTCCCGTCCGAGTACTGACCCTGCTGCGGATTGAACCGCATATGGCGAGCAAAAATTTACAGCTTACGTGATGCACGAGGGACGTCATTAAGATTTCTGTCACATATATCTGGATATCATCTCGTTCGTGCAGTAATATGAACAATGTTCCATGTTCCCACCATGCCGCAATTTTTTCTGCAAAATTCTTTTTTCAACACTAAAATGTTAAGTTAGTTTTTAGTATTATTTGCAAAGCAAACTTCTTCCTGAAATCAAGAGCAATACAGGTACCTTACAGGTTTTATATTTTGGAATGTATTTTTTTTAGTTTGGTATCCACATGCAGCTTTTTTCTCAGTTTCCCATTCTGAAGTGATTGAATGGATTCCCCAACCCACCCCTCCCCCAAACCTAAAACCCTTACGACTAACTTGAAACACTTGCGACTTTTGACCTTTTATTTCGGAAGGCAAGTAAGTACGTATATGTCCATGAACTAGACTGTACTGTCTGAAACGGAAATATGCATAAATTAATTGCAATTCATGTTATTTGAGAAAATTAAATCCAGAAAAATATTCGGGGTTTTGGAGACGACCCGGCTGAAAAAGTCATAAATTTTCGCTTCACTTTGCGATAATAATTTGACAATTGCATGTGTCTGTTATAAAATTCAGTATGAATGAAAGTTGAATGAAATAATATAACGAGACCCTTGAATAAAAACATAGTACAATATATGGCATGATTATCTTGGACTCCACTCATATCTGCGTCGATCAACATCCAGAGGCAAAATAACTTTGAAAATTTACATATATTTTTGGAAGAAATCTAAAACCGGAAAACGTGAAGCACCGAATGAATTTGATCTGATATTATGATGGCTTCAATATAAATTGGGAATTCCATCAACAAAACAGAGAAAAACGTTTGATCAACTATACGTCATGGAGAAAAAAGAAGCCAATAGCATCTTCACTTCAGATCAGACGCTTCATTTGTCTGATTGATCATCAAGGCTAAGAAATCAAACGAATTGCCAAAATGATGATAATATCGTGAGGTCGTCGAATGCATTAGTTCCATCTCGTGAATAACTTTTTTAATTATAGCACAGTACTTCATTCGATTATCTTTGTTGCTTTGATACTCGAGCAAAAATCAACAATTAACCAGATAAAAAGAAGAGTTCTAAGCTTCCATGTTGAACACTGTACATTATTGCAAAATGAAAGGTTTCTCCGGTAGACGCAAACACAAACGTAAATCGTCGGACATGAATAATCCCACACTGTGAGAAAAGTTTTCTTTTCCGCAGTATATTGTAGGAGTTCACAACTAATTGTTCAGGGCTGGGGTTGCGTGTTACAGAGTAATGTAGTTCGTCAGTCGTTATTTCCTTTCCGAAGCATTTCCCAGCTAAAAATAATAAAATTGTACCCTTATACACATGTCGCAGTATAAGAAGGAGGAAAAACCACGCATCGCAACAATTGAATTTATTTGAACTATTATTCCTGCAGTGATCTTTATTTTTATTGCTCTTCCATCTTTACGCATACCTACCTCTATGGGGGGTTTTTCCGAAATTAATTATTTCAATAACTTCTCGGGTCAATATTTGGCGAGAAGCTTTTTATTTTTCTAAATAAATCTTTTGAAATACTGTAATATATTTTATCAAAGATTTTTATTTTAAACATTGTAAAAAAATTTATAAAAGACTATGAAGAGATAAAAAGTAAAAACTATTCCTAAAAAGTTTATTATACCATTACTGTAATATGATTCGGTTCGTCGAGCAACTTTCGAGCAGCGGAATCCCCCTCCCCCCCCTCATTTCTCACTCAATATCACATCATCGGATGAATAAATAAATAAATAAATAAATGTCTGGAGCATATTGTGACACACAAAAAAAAAATCACCTGCTTCCAGCGTGCGGCAGTAGACCGGGGTTGAAAACGGGCCAGGGCCAGAATTGCTCCAGCCTGCGACCCGCAAGCTGTAGTTGGAAAAGGGTCGCAGGTCCGACAGCACCAAGTCCGTGCTGGACACGTTGATGAGCTTGGCGGACGCGACTGGACTGTCCACTTTCCTCAGCAGCAGAGAAAATGAAGTAGCTGACAAGGTTGCCTCCGCGCCCCAGGACACCCTGATTTGCGTTGATGACTCGGGGGTACACATCACCCTTTTCAGGGGGCTCAGTCTCGCTTCACGGGGATTGAGAGCGATGGAAAGAAAGGAAGAAACAGCAAAAGAGAGAGAGAGAGAGAGAGATAATTAATTGACAAGCATTGACTTTACATATGGTTTCCCCGTTGTCCCGAAAACTCCGGGGTCAAGAGTTTTTCGAACATCTTCAAACTCTAGGAGACTAATATTAAAGGAATCAGAAAAATTTCCTACTCTTTGATAAATGTAAGAAAAATATTTTAAAATCAATCATGGACTCTATTCAGTGCTGATGAGGTATTCCAGCCAGTGCTGATAATGGATTATATTCAGTGCTTGTATTTAAAAGCCGGAAAAGCAGAACTTTTCTTCGAAAGACTAAGGAAATTAATGCGAAATGGAACCAGATATTTGAACCATGGGTTGAACCAACGCCATTTTTCTCTGAAAATATCGTCGAATGAATACTCAAACTATTTTCAAACACTGAACTAAATACTTATTCTTACATGCACCCAGATCATAACTAATTATTACCGTTCATGAATCTCAATTTATCCATACCTCCTTGCGTGAGTTTGGAAATCCCTCCTTCCCCATTCATTCGAATTTTACCATTAAGGCAGACTCATATTTATTTCTATCTTTAAGATAATAAACATAATTCTGTACTTCCATCGCCAAAATGTTCCGCAAACAGTACCGCATTAAATTAATCATACTATACCAACTAGAAAGGAAATAAGCCATTGTTCGTTGGGCAGATTGNGGGTTGGGTGGGGAGGGGGTTTGGATTTTGGGAATGCTGATTGAACTTTGTGAACGCTGAAAACTGGAAAATAAAGCCTTCCGTTCATTCATGCATATACAGGTACTTGATCTGACATGACAGACTTCCGGAAATATGCATAAATTAATTGCAATTCATGTTATTTGAGAAAATTAAATACAGAAAAATATTCGGGGTTTTGGAGACGACCCGGCTGAAAAAGTCATAAATTTTCGCTTCACTTTGCGATAATAATTTGACAATTGCATGTGTCTGTTATAAAATGCAGTTTGAATGAAAGTTGAATGAAATAATATAACGAGACCCTTGAATAAAAACATAGTACAATATATGGCATGATTATCTTGGGCTGCACTCATTTCTGCATCGATCAACATGCAGAGAAAAAATAACGTTGGAAATTTACATATATTTTGGTAAGAAATCTAAAACCGGAAAACGTGAAAAACCGTATGAATTTGATCTGATATAATAATGGCTTCAATATAAATTGGGAATTCCATCAAGAAAACAGAGAAAAACGTTTGATCAACTACGTCATGGAGAAAAAATAAGCCAATATTATCTTCACTTCAGATCAGACGCTTCATTTGTCTGATTGATCATCAAGGCTAAGAAATCAAACGAATTGCCAAAAATGATGATAATATCGTGAGGTCGTCGAATGCATTAGTTCCATCTCGTGAATAACTTGTTTAATTATAGCACAGTACTTCATTCGATTATCTTTGTTGCTTTGATACTCGAGCAAAATAAACAATTGGACAGATTAAAAAAAAAAAAAGTGTTCTAAGCTTCCATGTTGAACACCGTACATTATTGAAAAATGAAAGGTTTCTCCGGTAGACGCAAACACAAACGTAAATCGTCGGACATGAATAATCCCACACTGTGAGAAAAGTTTTCTTTTCCGCAATATATTGTAGGAGTTCACAACTAATTGTTCAGGGTTGGGGTTGCGTGTTACAGAGTAATGTAGTTCGTCAGTCGTTATTTCCTTTCCGAAGCATTTCCCAGCTAAAAATAATAAAATTGTACCCTTATACACATGCTGCAATATAAGAAGGAGGAAAAACCACGCATCGCAACAATTGAATTTATTTCAACTATTATTCCTGCAGTGCGTGATCTTTATTTTTATTGCTCTTCCATCTTTACGCATA